TAAATTCAATAATAATAATAATAATAATAATAATAATAATAATAATAATATAAGTTAATTGATTAACATTAATGAATAATATTTTTTCAAAATCTTTTTAAAATGATTTAAAAAGCATAACGAATCCAGAGTACGAACATAAATGAAAATTATATACCGTTGTTACGAATTCTATGAAGTAGTTTAGTTTCGTTATTGTGTCATCAGTGTTCAGTAGTCGTGGGATCGTTCTTACTTGACAGCTACCAGCTGATTTAATGTCTTTAACTTATTCAACAGTCAGTAATCTTGTTTCTTTTTACGTAACACTTTAATAATCGACAATTACGTTAAATCTTGTTGTTTACACCAATTTGAACTTCGAAAAGAGTATATTTTAAGTTTATTCGTTTAACAGCTAACTAAATTGTTTATTTTTTTTTAAATATTTTTCTTTTGTATTAAATTTTGAGATAAAAATTCGATAAGAGATAAAAAAATGTTACACTTTTTTGTAGAACTAAAGTTTAATCTTATATGCATCTATGTGAAAGGTGTGTGTATGTGTGTATGTATTGCAAATACTTAAGAATATCAATCGAACACGTACGAAAAATCGAAAAGAAAGGAATTCGCCATTGATGCAATCGACAATTACGTTAATTCGATTAAAAGGGAGATTATTTTTATTCGTGACACGCAAAGATTGACTTTAACTATGCCACGTAGAGTATCAACCACGAGTAACTTCTTACCGTTCGAATTTTTACGTGCCACGAATCTTCATCGTTTAAATCTTATTTCCATTCATAATTAATTCATTATTTGCATCTAACGGGTATCTCGATAATCACCAGCTTGTTTGATTATTTTTCTTGATGATTCAATTAAATTACAAAATTTTTTTAACAGAACAAATAATGTATATATGTATACACTATCGGATAAAATTACTTGACCGCGACTTGCAAATTAATAGAAAGTTTGTTTAAATCGAAGTTTTATCTAATTTTTTTTATTTATTAATATTTTATTTTGTACGAGAAATTAATAATTCCTTAGACAAATGTAATATATAAATAAATTTTTAGTTAAATGATAAAATATTTTTGATTAGTTAGCGTATACAGAGTATTCTGGTAGTACAAACGAACAGAAAATAATTTTACAATAGATGAAAACATTAAAGGTCGGAAAATGTGGAATAAAATTTATTCCTATATAAGATGTTTTATTTTAAAGAAAAATATTAGGTGTCAAAAATGATTATAATTCGGTATAATAAATAAATATCTATTATTTAATTTTTGTCGAGTATTTATAACACTTTAAGTTCACTTCTTGGATTTCACGATAGGAAACGACTTCCCCCCCNGAAAGAAAAAACAAAATAAATAAACAATAAATGAACAAATTTCAAAATTCAAATTAATGAATGACAATCGAATTCGTTTTTCGTTTCGATTTATTCGGTGAAATAGGAATTAGTTAAATAGTGTGACAGAAAGGAAAGAATTTAAAACGGGGGTGTATGTATATTCAATGCATTAAAGAAAATACAGGGAGAGAAAGAGAGAAAGAGAGTATTCGTTTGGAACAGCCACGCCTACTTTTACTCGGTGTTCTTTTAAATATCGGTGCAGGATCTTAGAGAGCTATGTATATAATAGATACACTTTAACCACTGCAATTCGTTTTCACTGCAATTCGCGAACGTTTCACTACAGACCAGGGATATGATACTTTCGTTACCGGAAACATTATCTTTTTTTTTTTTTTCAAATGTAAACACCTTTTATAAACGAATAATTTTACATACGTAAAATGTACCTATACAAATATATAAATATATAGAGAATGTTTGATTAATATAAATGAATATTTGAGATCACATTCAAAATAATTACTCGAATATCAAAATAAATTTGATTAATTTTTGAGACATTTTTTTAAACAAAATTTATTATTCATGAAACATTAAAAAAAAAAAAAAATGTTGATCTATTTTTCTAATTAAAAAACACCAATGTTAGATTAATTTCAAGAGACATTATTTTCTACCAAATGATTACTTTTTATATTTAAAAAAATGTTCAACAAATTTACGTATGTAAATGCATTCGAATTTTTAACTAATAATGAAAGGAACCACAATTAAAAATAAGGTTAATTTTGAGAGACTTAAAAGCAATTAAAAATGAATTTTTCAAAAGTAAATACGTTTATTAAAGGATTACACAAATAAGTGCATTTGAATGTTTGACCAATACAGATTAACACGTTAAGCGCCATGCGAATTCTTAAGGAAATTCCTGTCAGGCCACTGGGGTTACTTTGTATTGAAAAAATAGTTGAACGTGTCAGTCACCGGTGACGGACGCGGCCTAAACGGAAAATCTAATGTCAGTCAACAATGGCTGACGTGGCGCTTAACGTGTTAAAATTGTTAGAAATTAATTTTGAAGAATTTGGGAGCAGTATGGTGAGGTGAGGTGAGATGAGGGGGAGGAGGAAATAAGATTTTACTTTTTAAATGTGAAAGTTCAAATGACTTGTATAATATATGCACAAATAGATTTGAATTTCCGGCTGCGAAAGGACAATAACTTTTTCTAGCTAATATTGGTTAAGTCTTTTTAAGAAGAGATGAACCAATAGAAATTGTTTACCCAGAAAAAAAAGCGAGAGAGAGAGAGAGAGAGAGTGTGATGTAAAAGAAAAAAAAATACGAGACGTTTATTTAACAGTATAGAAGAGTCTTGTGCAAATAGTATTTTTCTTTTTATCCTTGTTTATCTTTCTACAATTGAAGAAGATTTTTACGAACGTGAATAAAGAAAATGAATAATAAATGAAAAATTTGATTATTAATACTTGGCATGCGGGCAACGTGTTTTCACGTTTTTTGCAGTCTGTCATTAGAGCGCGAATCACGTAAAAATACGTATCTAGTAGATTTTTGGTGGATGGTGGGTAATGTATAATTACAACACAGTGAAATGGACAAAAAGCTTAGATATGTATATGATAAATTGCATATTTTTCAATGCATATGTAGTATATAATTCGACAAAAACATATAAAATAAGATAGAAGAAATTTTTGACCGAACTTCCGCGTGATTTACGAAAAAACGCTCGCTGCACGCGTAACTTGTAGGCGAAGTATATCCGCGTTTCAAGTGTTCATTATAATTTTCATTTGGAAAAAAAATTTCAATTCTTTCTCATTCGTTTATTAATTATTTTAATTTTTATAAATTATCTTTTCGATTCGATAATAATTA